AGAACGCCATAACAATAGGATTCAGTGCAGCCAGGGTTGGTGCATTGGTGTACTCGGTAGGCATAGTCCTTGTGACAACAGACGTGGCATCGCCTAAGCTCTCCCTTCTTCTTCTTGCGTTTGTACTTCTTCTTTGGTTTTCCTTCGCCATCGACCTCGGGCTCCGACTCGCTTGGCGTAATTTCGCGTTCTGGCTGAGTGATGTCTTTCCAGGGTCGTCTTCTCAAGGCTTCTTGGCAAATTTGTGCCAACGACTTCTTTCCTGAGCGCTGTCTGGCGATCTCTAAGGGCTGAGGCGAGGTTTCAAAGTCAACAAATCCGTCGTTCTTGATAATCATTGAACGCCAATCCTCATGGTTATTGACCAAGCCAGCCCAAGACCATTGCTCACACCATTGAAGGCCCGAAAGGCAGGCACAAGACCGTCCCATGGCGTAGCATTCCATGCAAACGTCATAAGTATCCTCATCGCCGTTCATTAGTGTCCGAGTACAATGTTTGCATGTTAAAAACCGGTTGAAGATATTTGAACGGCAATATGAGCATGTGATGCACGAGTCAAACTCGATAAACTCGACGTCCTTCTCCTTGTGTGCGAATATTTCGTCAATGAGAATCTCAGTAAACAGACTAAATAGCTTTTTGAAGTCACCGGCAAGCTGTCTAGCACGAGGTGAGCTCCTGAGAATGTCTTGACCAAGTCCTATGAAACTCATCGATGTCATCTCTGCATCCTCCTCCAGTTTCTGAAGTTGGCGATAGTACTTCTGTAAAGTGAAGAAAATGATGGCCTTGTTCTTGTACTGTTCGTCGCGACAGACGAGACGAGCCTTTGGCAGGGCTTCGTGCAATGCCAACTCTAGGGTCTCGGCAGTCGTCCGATTCCATGCTACTTTTATGGTTCGAGTACCACGATTCCAGACTTGATGTGCTGCTAGGGGTGGAATGAGGATAAAGTCGCCGACTCGCTGTTCGACGACATAGACGTCGAAAGGTGCTTTCTTCCACGCATTGATTTGAGCAAAATGCTTCTCAATCTCAATATCGTGTCCCAACATGGAGAGAAAGTATTCTCGAACGACCTCGCGATCCTTGCTCTCCGTCATGAACCAGATGGAACTTCCTGGTTTCTCGCCCTTCTCGCCCTCTGATGCTTCTACCATGATATTCTGACCTAACGATGCACACATCTCACGATGAGCTGGGGTAAATGTGCCTTCGTGTCCAATGTAGCACATAAGATTTTGGGCCTGCATTTCTTCTGGTAAGCTGGACATCAAATCACCAGCTGGTGCTGCAGCAGCCTCATCGCGGAAGGCGTCTTCCTTTTGTTGCGAGCCACCGGCTTCGCTGGCGTTCTCATTGAGGTAGAATAGGTTCGGATGGATGACCTTTTGTAGCGCATCACGCCATTCGGGAGGACAGTCGATATCTTTCAAGTAAAGGCGCTGACGGCGCTCGTCTCTGAAATTTGTAGGTGTCCATTGATTCGCCAGTTGTCGCATCGATCGTAGGTAATGTCCCATCGTCATAGGGATATCCGAACCCGCATTGATGTCTCTCACATTCTCCTCTGATAAACCTAGGGTTAGTATGCTTTCGAATGTCATCTGAGAAGAGTTGACCTACGTCGCTTATCATACGTCTCCTCCAGCCAGCGGACATCGAAAAGTCCAGTTGGTAGAACACCATCCCATCCATCAATGACCAGAGGTTTGCCGCCAGCGATGACGTGAATCAACACCAGCTTCTCAAATTCCTGCTGCCCAAGATTGCGTATTTGGGTTCTCGATACACGCTGAACCCACTTGAAATTCGGGGTCTTGTCGACCAAGCTATACAAGTCCAGATCAGGCGGGATGGGATCGAATTTGGCCTGCGGGTGTAGCGAAGTCGGCATCTTGTCGAGCTTCGAGAATACGCAAGAAGCTGTAGTGGGGTTCGTTCGAGAAAGGGAGATTGTTGGTCGCAAAGAACGGGAAGTCTCGAAAAGTCGTCGGTGCGAAATCAGGCCGAAAAGCCGTTCGTTTCGCAAATTGCCCCCATTCAGTGCGAAAATAGCGACAAAGACACCGTAAACAAGGATAGGTTTTTGGGGGAGGTTACAAATCCTAGGTGAATGGATGTAGGCGCGTCGGAAGCTAAGGTAGGTAGGCGTTGGATTGTACAATGCGCAACCAATCAAAGGTGCCTAGGTTATTAGGTACGCAGAGACAGAGAGCGAGCGGGTCGATGTGCACGTGACGTACCAATTGCCGATCTTGCGCTAACAAGCTCGGCCAATTCACTCCACTGCTACATGAGCTTTGGTGACAAGGATTCTAAAGTTATCAGATTCATATTTTTGGACCGAGAGTTTTCGATTTGAACTCTGGTGAGCTGCCATTGAGGTCTGACGTGACCAAATCTCCTTTACAGCGCTTCGTAGTAAGTTGAATATGAAATCTTTATAAAATCATAGTTCAAATTCTCATGATCCTAGTAGGACTGTAGACTGTATATCTCATGAGATTAAGTGCACTCACCCGGGCTTCGGCCTGGGCTCAATGCCGAGGAATCTCAGATCGGGCTCTGAAAGTACCAAGACAACTACAGACACGACCTTCCCCCATTGGTGCTTGTAAAGGCTTGAGACAACCATGGCACAATAATCAACGAGCAGTTGGGTTTCACGAGGCCAAACCTCGATCTTTGCCCCTGGCCACACAGGATTTGGACTCACCATCAGCTTCGACGGCACCGTCGCCTTATAAACCACCTGAGACGGGACTGTTGTCGAAACTTCCAACCTCATGGGTTCCTTATGCTGAGCTGATTCGACTTGACAAGCCTGCTGGAACCTATTATTTGTTCTTCCCATGTCTCTTTTCTACTCTTATGGCTGCCCCAATGGCTATGCCAATGGCGACTCCAGGCTCTGTCGTTGGAACATCACTCCTCTTCTTCTCTGGAGCTCTCATTATGAGAGGTGCTGGATGTACTATCAATGATCTTTGGGACCGCAACCTCGATCCTCATGTCTCAAGAACTCGACTCAGGCCGATTGCTCGTGGTGCGATCACACCGTTCAAGGGACTTGTCTACACTGGGATTCAACTGTTTGCCGGCCTTGGGATATTACTCCAATTTCCCCTCCCTTGCCTCTTTTACGGCGTCCCCAGCTTGCTCCTGGTAGCCAGCTATCCTTTGGCCAAGAGAGTTACTTATTACCCCCAAGCAGTTCTCGGCCTCACCTTCTCGTGGGGCGCTATTATGGGTTTCCCGGCTCTTGGAATCGACTTGCTGTCACATGCCCCAGCCTTGACAGCTGCAGCCTGTCTATATGCTTCAAATATTGCATGGACAATATTATATGACATGATCTATGCTCATATGGACATCAAGGACGACGTCAAGGCGGGAATCAAGAGCATTGCACTGAAGCATGATGCTGAGACTAAGCAAGTGCTGACTGGCTTGGCTGCTGTACAGATCTCTCTTTTGGCTGCTGCCGGATTTGCAGCTGGTGCTGGCCCGGCGTTCTTTGTTGGGAGCTGTGGAGGAGCTATGGTCACGCTTGGTATCATGATTAAGCGAGTCAATCTGAAGGATGTCAAGGATTGTTGGTGGTGGTTCATCAACGGGTGTTGGATCACTGGTGGCGTGATCAGCCTCGGCATGGCTGCGGACTACACTATCAGATATGTCCAGGGCCCTGAGGACGAGGCCAAGCTGGAGAGCTGAAGACCAAACAGTGTTGAAGCATGTAAAGCAATTGTACAATAATGTCATCATATACGGAGATATAGGTTCAGACCCTCAAGATTCCACCTCACGCGGCGTGCACATCGTTGTTTTGTTCGTCGAAGACTTTGTGATCTATTTTCCCATTTTCAGACCTCGTCTCCCATGATCAGATCCCTAACCAGTAATGCCGATGCAAGCAATCCGAATAGACTCCACGTGTCGAAATATGACTTTGTTTCCATCTGCGAGCCCTTCGCTTAAGAACGGGGCTTCTCCTTCTTCTCCTTCCACAAAGCGAGCAGACCGACACCAGAGACCTTGACGACCTTGAATCGAACACCGGGAATATCACCCTTGGCCTTGCCCTTGCGACCGAAACCAGCCAGGAGGACCTCGTCGTTCTCGTCCACGAAGTTCAAGCAACCATCATTGGGGACTAGAAATCGATGTTAGTTTGACCGGTCCTTCATGTCTCGTAGTGTCTGGGGTTCGTCGTACCGAAGGCAGTGACCTTCTTTCCGTTCTTGATGAGCTGAACACGGACACACTTTCGGATAGCGGAGTTGGGCTGCTTGGCCTCGACACCGACCTTCTCAAGGACGATGCCCTTGGCGTGTGAGGAACCACCGAAGGGAGAGGACTTATAGGCGGTACCGAGGGCACGCTTCTTGTAGGCGAGATCGGCCCATTTCTGGTCCTTTCGGTTCGTTCGCAGCTTGCGGGCGGCGTTAAGACCACGGGGTTTGCCTCCAGCCATTTTTGCTTCAGAGAAAGTCGTTAGTCGATTATCGATTCGAAAAACTCGAGCGCGAGCGTGCAGAGCTGAGGGGATGTCTTTGTGTTGGGTTGAATGGCTAGTACCTACCGGATCTGTCTGTGTATCGACGACGGGATGGTGATGGTAATTTGCGGAGGCGACGAAAACTTGGGAAGGAACGACCAACGAAAATTCCAGGTAGGGTTTGGTGGCCCTAGGAAGAAGGTGCGACCTGTGGTGAACCTAGAAGCAGGCGAGAGATCACGTGGTGCCAAGAACCGCCCCACAGAAACTCTGCCATGGTTGTGGACTGATCGTTCATCAACGGAAGTCCGAGTTGCGGGTCGCACAGTGATAACCGACTCATCAACACTCTTTACACTGTCTTCTTCAACTCTCTTAGTAGTAGCGTCAAGAGCGTCAAATGCTCAATTGATATCGGTCTGGAATGAAGCAAACTGTATTGTTCTTATTGTACATATTACTACCAGCCAATCGAGAGGTTTCTTAGGTCATTATGTCTCATCTAACGCGACCGCTGAGCCGACAACGAGATCCTCCTCCCTCTTTATTCCTTCATCCATCTCCATCAGCATCAAATGTCTCCTTATCAAATGCACCGCCGCCAACTGTCCCTTTCATAGGGCAGTCAAACTTACGGCCTAACGCCGAACGTGCTCCATCTGTTAGATCTGGACGATCCGGGGCTGTGGCCTCTCATCATCGAGCTGGACTATTTCCAGCAGAGAGCACACGCGCGACAGGTGACCGTACTGACCTCTTATGGTCCGAAATGCAAGCGACGTTGGAAGAAGTCGAGCTCTCAGCTTCTGGTGGCACTCACGTGTTTGGCCCAGATCATGACCGCAAGCTGGCTGACTTGAGAGCCGCTCAAATTGCCCTTGCTCAAGCCTGGGCCAGAAGTGAAGCAGATGATGTTATAGACACAGCCCAGCTCGAAACTGTGGGGTCTGTAGCTGGATCTGAAGTTCGAAACATGAAGGGTGCGCTCGGCGATACCTCCAAGTCTGGTCCTGATGGCACAGAGAAGAGTGCCGTTGGAAGCAGCAGTATCTCACGACCTAACAGTAGCGGCACAGGAGTTGAGAGACTGGGTCACAAGCTCGAGGAAGAGACGGAAGTGGATATCCTCCTCGCAAGGAAACGACGAGAAGCCAATGATAGATATTTCCAGAGAGTCAATCAAGGAGTGATCGACGTGGTAGCCCGGCTTGAAGATGTCGCAGTGGCTATGAGAGCTGTTGAACAGGAAAGCAAGGAAGTTTGGAGCGAGAACGACAGTGTTCCTGGCGCCTCGAGGACGTGATCGTGTCATACAGGTGATTTCGGCATTTCCAGCTCGGCGTTGCCAGGAGTTAGGCGATATTTACTCGGCATTTATGGCGTTTCACAATTTTGAGACAGACTCTTTGGATATTTTTCAAACATGTTTTTTCTAGAATATCGTCATATCAAGAATATTTTAACTATTTACGTTGTCGTTTGCATGTTCCTGAATCCTATTCGGCGAGAAGATCTTCGTAGCTTCGACTTATACCAAGATGGGCTGTGGAGGCTGGGAGGGAAGACAAGCTACCAATCAATTCGATGACGACAAGAGAGCTATCCAGATACAAAATCCGTCATCGCTGCTTTCTTGATTTGATATCCGCAAAGACTATCTTATTTATTAGAGCGTGACTTGCACAGTATCACTGTATGTCTTGCTTGTGGTTACAGGCTCACTCACGACAGGCTGAGGAAACGTCATCGCTTGGCTGTCTCTCGACACATTTAGGACCGAAAGAGTTGAGATTCTCAGCATATGAAGAAGGAACAATATTTTATCCCGAACTCATGATCTCTTGTCCTGCCATTTACGTCGCTGTCCGTCTATCGGCCGTTTCTGTGGTTGAACAATTTGTCTTGCCTAGGTACCTAGTTCAGGCACGTACCTCATTCTCGACAACGCGATTAGAAGAATGAGGTGGGGTGGACGACCTGCCCGATTGGGTTATTGGTCAGCCCGCCATGTGGCACACTGCTTTAAACTCGCTTCAGTGGAGTGATGCAAACCCCAGAGCATCCCTGGCGCATGGTCAGTGGGCGTCAGGTCCCTTCGGATCTTCCGCCCCCAAGAAGAGGCCTAGGCCTGCCCATTAGCCATCCCAACTCGCCCAGGCCATATAAAGTCTCAGCCCACCCCCCATCACCCTCTCTGCATTGACGCCACGAACATTTGAGCATCATCCAACGCATTCAACATCGACTGAGCTTTTATCGCAGCAACCACCGTATCCACCATCAACAAACTTCCATCATCAACTTGATCGTCGATACTACTATCAACATGAGATTCCTGCCCTTTGTCGCCGCCGCTCTCGCGGTTGTCCCAGGCGCCTTGGCTGTTGATCAAAAGAAGTCAGCTATTGTCTGGTTCGAGGACGAGTCTACCCCCGACAGCATCGTCGACGAGTGCAAAAACGCACTCATTAAGGCCGGTGGAAAGATCACTCATGTTTACTCCATCATCAAGTGCGCATCCTCCGCCTTTTGGCAAAATGGCAGCTCGATACTAACCAGTTGACCAGGGGCTTCTCCGTCATCGCACCCGAAAAGGCGCTCGAGATTGTTCAGGTCAACCACGAAAACCATCAGATTCGGGTTGAGAAGGACGAGGTTGTTACAACGGACTAAATATGCTAGAGGTAATACGAAAATGACGATACAAAGACGATGGGACAACAGCATGCCTTTGAAATGAACTGGCCGGGGTTTCACGGCAGTATTAGGATAGTGGTATCCTTTGTTTGGGCGTTATAGGATAGGAGTCTCGATATTGCTTGGAAGACAACACTCGTTACGAGATTCAATGAGCTCATTATTGTTACAAAACCTCTCCCAGGTGGAACAGAACTTTTGTTATTGCGGATGCTTGTGATGTTAGTCATATGATATACATCAACTTAAACAGATGTTGATCAGCTATTAATGCGAACGAAGTACACCACTACAGCTCCACCAAAATTGATATTATGGGAGTGACAGAGCCGAGCCTTTTTGGCCTATGATTCTCCGGAGTCTGTATTTTGGCTATAGAATAGCGCCTTGATGTGCCCTTGTTCTATTGGTCTGCTCCCGCGTTCATTCTATCATCCTTTTTAGTAATGTATCTACTAACTAAGGCTAATTATCAATGTGTCTCGCCGCCGTGAACAACCCGCACTTACGGAGTACACACCAGGCCCCCCCACTAACTAACAAGTATGGAGTTGCGTCATTGTAGATTTTCAGTATATGTTTAGATCTTCTTCCTCTTGTTGTTGTTGTGTATGTCCACTAATGTTCATTCTTCGTCTCAGGCCGCACAGCCACGCTTTGTATATTTTGACGTATCCGTACACCTCCTGCATCAATGAGTGCCTCAGAGGCTGTCATTAGGTACGCACTACGCCACTACGCCACAATTGGCATCCAGCAACATTGAATTCGATAATACCCATTACCAATATTCGATCACCGTAACTTTACATCCGTACTTCGTAGAGGTCTGAGATCCTACGGACACTATACGCGACTCATGAGCATTACACCCCACACTAGACAAATTAAGATGCCTACAGTACTTTCGTTAGTTGCTGAGCCATGAAATTGCTTCTATAAATCCTCGAATTTTAGCTGGCCCATCTGACAGCCTAAAAGTCCACTATTCGAACTTCCCGTGGGCCCCTACTCTGTTACCCCTGTCAAATCGATAAGCCCACCCGACCGCATAGCTCAAGCCAACAAGGGCCCAACGTCGCCGAAACGTTGAAGAACAATGCTCCCTCTAACCTTGAGTCCGCACTGAACACTCACTCCACAATCACTGAACAATGGAACGACCGATTGTGTTCTCTTAATAACAGCTCCTCTTAAAACCCTCGAATCCCATTTCGACATGCCCTCGAATGCCTCGAAAACCATTACCCCTGCTACCAGACACGCGACGCAACTCCCTATAATTCCACCATCATTATCACTCCCGACAGCGACAACCTGATCGAATACTTTACTTGACCAATATTTGACTCCGACCGCACAATATTTAGCACATGATGCCGGGCTATAGTGCCAACGCGCAGGCTGCGCTCATAAAGGCCGTAAGTGTCTTCGAGGAAGAGCCCTCACCGTCTTCTAGCTCCAGTCTGACCGAAGATGCCCCTCAGATCAAACGAGTCTTTGAGCCGAAACGCATGGTAGAATCAGTCGAGGACCTCATCGACGGTGTCACCCTTGGTCTAATTCTACATCAACTGGATCCTAGCTTTGACACGTCCGCCCTCGAGACAAATTCCAACACATCCCGCTATTTGACAAACAAGCGCAACATTCAGAGCATCTACAAGGGTCTCTTCCGCTACATTCGACGAGCAGTTCCCGAGCTTGCTTGTCAGGCAAAAAAGTTCGACTATCATGCAATCGCCGAGAATCCCGATGCTCAAGGCATCAGTCAGGTAAATCTCTTTTCTCTACACTCATTGTGCATACGGCTAACTTTCCAGCTCTTGGCTGTCATGTTGGGAGTGGCCGCATTAGGTCCCGAAGCCCAGCATTATATTCCTCGCATAACAGGTCTCGACAAACACACTCAGGCAGAGATTATGCAAATAATCCAGACAATACAACAGGATATCAACAGCTCACAAGGCGACGACGATGTGGATGAAGCCATCGACGCTGTTATGGAGGCGCGAGACATCGATCTACTCGTTGAAGAGCAGAATGCAGCCTTGCGGTCGCAACTTGACTTAACCAAGAGACAACTGTCAGATTATATCACCAGGCTTGATCATTTACAAACAAGTCACGAAGAGCTTCGGTTTGATAAAGAGAAGAACGACCGGGAGCTGGAGGTCTTGCGGAAGGCCACTATAGATGGTGCTAACAATGCCGAGATGATCAAAAACCTAGAGATTCAGGTGCATGACCAAATGGAACTCATTGCTAGACATGAGGAAACAATACGAAGAGACGAGCGCATCAAGTCGCAACTCGAAGCTGAAGTCCTCAAATTGACAGAAAAATGTAAAGAGGCAGAAGAGCTTCGCGACCAAGCAACGGAATGGAAACACAAAGCTGAGGATCTCGAGAAGAAGGCCAATACTGCAGAGCGGTATAAACAGAAACTCGAGTCCCAGCAACATCTCGTCAAGGAGGTGCAAAACCTACAATATGAGAAAACGGAGTTACAAGACCAAATTAAAATCCTGCTGGAAGACCAAGATAGGGGGAATCGGACGAGGAAAGCAGAGGATGAGTTGACCAAGATGATTACTCAATCCGAGCAACATCTTTGGGACGAACGTAGCCAAAAGAACCAGCTGATGAAGGACATCGCAGCACTGGAGGACGAGGTGATTCGCTTGAGGGCACGTCAAAGCCACGATGAGAACTTCATCAAGGATCTCCAGGAGCAACTAGAGAGTGGAGGAGCCGCACAAAGCGCAGAACCCGGCGCGTTAGGTCTGGCAGGAAATCTCGAGGATGAACTTAACGATGCAGCTACCGAGGACGGCCAACCTAGCCAAGTTAACCTGCCCCTAGAACTATCTCGCCTAAAGGCCGAGAACGATTTGCTGCGTAGCACAGTCAGCTCTGGGGATACCGCGCCGCTACGCCGAGAGCTGGACGAAGAGAAGCGACAACGTGCTCACCTTCAAAAGAACTATAACGACATTTTTGAAAAGCATGCTGTTTTGCATGATCAAATGGAGGCTCTGATCAACAACATGACCGGCGAAGGGTTAGTCAAAGCAATTGATGAAGCCGGTGCTCCTGATGGGAATCAGATACTTACTTCGGATTACTACAGGACCAAGGCCTTTCTCAACATTAAACAGTCATTATTGCAGTGCGAATTCGAACTCGAACAGTCGAAGAAGAGGGAGAAGGACCTCTCCGTTCAGGTGGCAGATCAAGGCCGCGAACTTCTTGCTGTTAAGGCTCAGCTCTCGGCTCTCGACAAAGAGGGGGCAGATGCTCTTAAGGAGCTCAAGAGCGCTGATGTTACCATCATCTCGTCCCTCAAGTCTGAGCTCGACTACACAAGAGAGCAGCTCAGCTACACTATTGCCGAGAGAGATGCGCAGCAAAACCAGCTCGTCGATGCTCTCCTTACCAAGGATAAGCTGCGTAAGGAGGTGGAAGAGGGCCGGGAGCTGCAAGACATCAATGGCACAGGCGATGCACCACCTGACCCCAGCAAGAAGGGTGAGCTGATTGAGAAGCTGCGTGCCCGCCTCAGAGAAATCCGCGAGGTGAGTCCATTTTTTTATGCAATTGTTAATGGTGATGGGGAAGACCTAGTGGTCTCAGACAAAGATAGTCAGATGTCATTAGAAGACGATGCCGCTTGGCCTTTGAATCCCACATTTGCAGGTGGTGGACCGAGTTCATCGCTAGATCCCATTGGAACTGAGATCCCGAGACCTGCTTCTGCACTACTACCCCTGCGTCCCCTCCAGCGAGGGCAAGTAGGGGAGCCAGAGGGACCTATCGATATGCATGCGAAATCCGGTAGATTTAGTTGGCTGACAGATATGTTCTAGCAACTTGAACGATCGGAGACGGACAGGATCGACCTACAACGTAAACTCAAGGCTGCACACGATGGCGAGGCTGTGGCTGCACAAAAGGTATGTTTTATTTCTTCATGTGTATATAGTAACATCATATATTTTTATCATGCTTTTTTCTTACTGCGACTGAAACCTGTGCTAATTATCTTTGACTCAAGGCCGCGAGCGATCAAATTATCCGGAACCTTGAAAGAGAAAACGCTCTCATCTCATCAGCATGGTATGATCTTACGAGCCGGCTTCAGAGCAACCATGTCGTTTTGCAAAGGCGGCACGAAGCTCCGCGGAGCTGGCTTAACAAGCAGAGGCAGATGGTCAATGGTCAGTTGCGCTTCCGCGACTCGCTCTACCTCTACTGACCTTCCCCTGTCAGCGACCCCGAAGCGATAGGTACTCGCGGGGTGAGAAATCCCTCGCTATTTTATGATAAGACTCAACGAATTACGCTCTCAAGTTGTGTGACATAACTCCTACTACCTACCTTACCAACCGCCAGTCTCTCCCTCGACGTATTCACTCCCACCCATACTGGCTTATCTTACCTGGCTCTCAAGATTGCCCCTTATCCTCTCTTGATCCCGACATTCTCATAATTGCCGACACAGCCTTGGAAATTCAGGGCGTCGTATTTCCTCTTTCTATTTTTTGAAGCATTGCGAGGGAGCTTGGTGTGTTTCTTAAAAACGGGCGTACTTGCTTGGTAGACCAGTGGCTAGGAGAATTTCTGCATTCCAACAGAATGCATTCAATGATATCATTAGTATAGATGTTATGCCGAGGAGTCCTACAAAGGGCTCCAAATGCGTTTCAATAGAGACTCGGGCGTAATATTGCAGAGTCATAGTTTGATCATTATTGAAACTGGGGTTGTGTCAGTCGATTCGAGGGCTATGATTTGGGTTGAGGGCTCTAGTCTATCTGAGACTAACCCCATAAAGTGAGCATTCCATCTTCACGAGAAACAGGTAGGCCAGATATATAACGCTTCGAAAGCCAACTTTCTGCTGGTTGGAAACTCTTGTAAAAAAAGACATTTTGATACATGGCTAATCGTCGTCCAAAGTAGGTAGCTTTTTCCACACATGGCCACACAAGACCGCACCGCAGACAAACACTCTACCTTATAACGCCTCTTTTGCCTGGAAGATTGGACTCTCCACTCTCTCTTTCGCCTCTTCCCAGTTTACAGTTCATACCGTTCATATATCCAAGACGAGCTGGCTTTTATTTTCACACAGCATTCGTCTTGTTGCCTCAGTCGCACCAAGTAGCAGCTGGGGGAAGCCAACCGCTCCGGGCAGGATTTAAGCTCGCTTCTCGTTGAGGACCTTGAGCATGTTCTTCCACACTTGCCCAGGTTCTTGGCTGGCGTCGAGTCCGCTCCAGATACCAGTCTTCTTGTAGTAACCGACAACAGGGGCGGTCTGCTTGTGGTAGGTAACAAGACGCTTCTTCAGAGCCTCGGCGTTGTCGTCACTTCGCTGGATAAGAGGCTCGCCAGTAATGTCGTCCTTCATATACTCCTTGGGAGGGTTGAAGGTGGTGTGGTATGAGCGTCCGGAAGCGGGGTGGACTAATCGGCCAGTGATACGGGCAACGAGAAGAGAGTCGTCGATCTGGAGCTCGACGGCGTGCTGGAGCTTCTGGTTTCGCTCCGTGAGCATGGCATCGAGACTCTCGGCCTGGGGGACAGTTCGAGGGAAACCATCGAGGATGAAGCTGAAACGCGAATTATTAGTGTCCTGTTTCGTCGGTCACGTCGGTGTAGATCGAGATTTGCGGGCTCAAAACGTCTGGAACCCGAAAACCGTGGAATGATGCAACTCACCCGCCCTGGCACTCCTTGTTGCTGTTGAGCTCCTCCTTGATCATGCCAATCATGATATCGTCGCTGACCAGACCGCCCGCATCCATGATCTTCTTGGCCTCAACACCGAGAGGGGTCTTCTTAGCGACCTGGGATCGCAGCATGTCACCGGTAGCCTGCGCAACGAGACAATACATGTTAGAGAGTCGAGACTTTGAAAGGCTGTGTTTTTGCGACGCGAATTAACGTACCAAGTGACAGCAAGAGAAGCGCTCCTTGATCTTGGGGGCCTGAGTTCCCTTTCCTGGGAAGCACAGTTAGTAAAAGACTAAGCGAGCATTTGCGGCGCAAAAACACTCACCAGCACCAGGAGGACCGATGAGGATCATTCGGATCTCTTCAGTGGAGACGGGACCGCCAGTGGCTCGCGCCTCGAGCTTCTTGATGCGAGTGTCAATGGTGCTAAGAACATCCTTGAGCTGCTTGAGCTCGTCCTCAATGAAACCCATCGCTGCGGTTGCGGAAGATGAAATTGGAACTGGAACTTGTTCTGGCGGGCAATTGAAAGAGATCTTGAGAGATCCAGAGAAGCAAAGATGGAATTGGCGAGAGACTTTGTTCTTTGGTGCGAGGCTGAGGGGATCGAAGTGGAAGAAGAGAGAGAGAAAAGAGAGGAACAAAGTCAAGACAGGGAAATCTTGAGTGCGTAGCCGGAGGACAGGAGGTTTGGGGGAGAAGCTTTAGCGAGCTGTGATTGGTCAACTGGGGCCGTTTCTGCTGGACCGATTGATGATGGGGGTACACCCCTGTAATTAACCTGCTGGGGATACGCCTTGGCCTTTGAGATGGAAGCAATCGTGGCTTTTGATATCTACGGATAGTTATATAATTTGGTAGATAAAGGGAGGCATTTTTGTGGATTCTGGATGATCAGTATCGCTTGTCTTTCTTTGGTGGACCGTTGTTTTGTAGGTAACGTCGCCAGGGCTGAAAACGAACGTGCATATAAACACACCAAAAGCAAGCTTTCAATCACAGGCTCAGGACAAGGTACTCGGTACAGCTGCGGCGTTATAGAGACCACCACCTGTTCGTAACACGACAAGATCCAGCAATAACATTATTTAACATCCGTGTATAAATTTAAATACAGGGAGAGCATGTGGCTTTCCAGCTCGAGCCATTGTAATTGCTATATCTGCCCAGCCATAAGCACTGCTGTCATCCGTGATGCTCAGTCCATCATCTCTATACATCACCGATGTACAGATGCTTATTAGGACCTTAGGGTAGTTCGCAACTTGCCTCAACAATAACCGTATCCGGAACATGCCCGTTTTTCCTCATCTCGCTATACTCCGAGATGCTATAACCGTTCTTGGCCGAAGCCAATGGCGGAAGGTCAGCTTACAACTGCCATGATGCAACGGAGTTCGTTCGGTCGCCAGGACCGAGGTTCAGAGAGTTGGGATGCCACGGGCCCCTTTGATCCGGCATATCCCCGCCAGTTCAACAATTCAAGAATACTATGTAATTAACTCTCTTCGTATTTCATCTGTTGCAGAAAAACGGCCACACCTCGGTCTGCGTACAGCCGACCTCCTCGTCTGCCCTTTCACGGCTAGCTACACTCGTGCAAGGAACGACTAGGTATCGGTAGATAGTACCGCTGCACGAGTGCCTTCGTTTTGTTATATCCTATTCGAGTAGTAATGGCACCCTCGTAAATCAACGCTTGCGCCCACGTACGTGTAGGTGTGTTAATAGCCGGCATTAGCATGTTGGCCTCCATCTTTCCGCTCTCCTAGAGATGTCCCGAAGCCAAGTCTAGGGCTTATAGTGATGGCATCATCATATACAATTTCGTATTGGACCCTGCTTCTTCAATGGTTTCTTCTCTCAATATGGACTTTCATCCTTACTACCGTACTCCGGTTCGCACCGAGGGCCAAGTGGGCGGCAATCTCACCAGAATCGAGTCGCTTATTATAAGTGGAAGATCTGATCACGCTATGCCAGATCCAGCAAACAAGCGTTGACCTGCTCCCTGAAATGACTCTCTAATCAAAGACATCATCGTCTTGTTTATGGTAAGTTTGCCTGTATATGTAATGCCCTAGGATGATGACCTACGTTAGGTACCTAGGTAGGTCACTGCTGTATCCATCTAATCAACTAAAACTCCAGATTTGATAATGCAACATAGGTCGATTCAACCATTCATCTACCTATGATGTCAATAGTACAATCAACGAAAAGCAACGCTACTCTCTCTATTTCTTCACTAGTCCAAAATTTAAAATCCTCGCTTTTCTTTGTTCAAAGGCCTGTGCTTTCAATTCTCTTGGTTGCGATACCGCTTAGTTCATAGCATGTGGCTGAATATTCGGCTGTGGCTGCTTCCACGTGATGTGGCACTGCAAGGCTTGAGCTCGAAGGCTCCAAGGTGCCTGGCCCAATTGGGAGCTACCTAAGCTCCCCCAAGAAGGCAGCCTCAAGACTACGTACGTGCGGCCACAATAATCACTGCATCAACATCACGACTCTACCTCCAACTTCGCCGCGCCTGCACGACTACGATCGCGCATTGAATTGAACCTCTACACAGTTCAGCATACGTCGTAATAGAGATACATTGACGAAGCAACGATGCCTACTACAACAGCAGAAACACTCTCCCTCGTTACTCGAAACGTCACCGTTGCGCCCCTCGTCCTTCTCTCAGCCGTCGACCACTACAACCGAACTGTTTCTACCAAGACCAAGCGACGAGTAGTTGGCGTTCTTCTGGGCCAAAACGATGGAAATGACGTGAGAGTGTCGAACAGTTTCGCTGGTGTGTTATCCTAGTATCATGGGGCCGGAAGATGGGCGGCGCTTACAATTGCTATACAGTTCCCTTCGAGGAAGATGAGAAGGACCCTTCAGTATGGTTCCTTGACCACAACTACGTCGAGTCAATGAACGACATGTTCAAGAAGGTCAACGCCCGAGAGAAGCTCATAGGATGGTATCACACTGGTCCCAAGCTACGTGCATCCGATTTGGAAATCAATGAACTCTTCAAGCGCTACACACCCAATCCTCTGCTCGTTATTGTCGATGTTCAGCCCAAGGAGTCGGGAGTTCCTACAGATGCTTATTTCGCCGTTGACGAGATCAAGGACGTATGTTGATAAGCCTTCCTGATTTCAGGTCACCAATCAGCTACTGACACCCACCAGGACGGCACAACCACTGCCCGAACATTTGTTCACACTCCTTCCGTTATCGAGGCCGAGGAAGCAGAGGAGATCGGCGTTGAGCACCTGCTAAGAGATATCCGCGATGTGGCCGCCGGCACATTGTCCACACGAGTCACAAACCAGCTTCAATCACTCCAGGGCCTGCACCTGCGCCTTCGAGATATCGGCACATACCTCCAGAAGGTTCTCGACAAGCAACTACCAGTCAACCATGCAATCCTCGGAAACTTGCAGGATGTCTTCAACCTGCTGCCTAATCTCTCGACACCCGAAGGGGATGGCAAGTCTGGTGGTGGCGAGTTGGCGTATGCGATGAGCGTCAAGACCAACGACCAGCTTATGGCTATTTACCTGAGCAGTCTGATCCGCGCCATCACAGCATTCCACGATCTGATTGAGAACAAGATCCAAAATAGACAACAGCAGGAGGAGAAGGAGGCCAAGAAGGAAGAGATCAATGGCAAGGATGAGAAGAAGGAGGGCGCCAATGGTTCAAGTGGTGACTCCAAGGAGGGCGCGGAAAAGGACAAGGAGAACAAGGAGACTAAGAAATAAGGAACAAAGACAAAAGACCTGGCAGATGAACTAGACTTGGACTGAGGCTCTTTGGCGTCTGGCGGAGGGGAACCATGGCAATATCCTGACCAAAAGTCAAGGTAAAAGCGCCTTTGTACATTGATCATATCAAACTGGATTATTAGAGGACGGAGCGCGGATAACATGCTGGACAGATACGTCTTGAGAGACGGGTCTTTCGGTACTGCTATGATGAACCATATTTACAAGTCGGCTACGATACCAGCCATTTCATCTTTTGATACAACCCGATCCTCAACATACATACCGAGCATTTCTGGCCATTTATCAACAAGTAAGCATGCAAGGAGGTGTTTGCAACATGGAGGAGCATCACCCCATGGATCTATACCTTTGCCTCCAAAAGACCACTGCCCATCTTCAGTTGGTAATTGCTGCACTTGGTTTGTTGTTGAGACAGCATGAGCATGAGCATGAGCATGGGCCGGGAAAGCATCCAACGTAAAGCTCGGACATGTGCAATTCCACGCATCAAGATGTATAACGTAGCGCTTCAATGATGAACTGAAGTCTCGCGTCCGGCGTGAAAGTGTTGTAGCGAGAGAGCGAACAAGAAACATGTCGTTCTTTATCTTATCTGATGAAATCCCATCTTGAAGCTCCTCATTTCGCACTAGCCTGATAACGAGTCCCCGATCGAGAAGATCCAGCGCTGGGAGCAGAAGGGTTGGGAACAGCACGTGAAGAGTTAATAGTAGAGGCCGTTGAGAGGGGAGAATGGTTTGTAAGGGTGATAATGTGGGGTGTTGAGCGGCCTGAAGTGGCTGCACTGATGATATGTCTTCTGCGGTGGTTGATGGCGCGATATTGTTGGAGATGGAGCTTATGAGGGATGTGATCAACTGGCGATGGGAGGGGAGAGGCTCCATTGCCGTGGGGTTGATTGCATGGTTCGATGACTGATGTTGATGGAGGAAGTCTAGGTAGTTCTGGTAGTCTCCACGTTGATATTCAATGACAGCCAAAGTGTCAACTCAAGAATAGGTACGTATTAATTTCCACAAGAATCGCCAGTTCAACGAACTATTTCATGAATTAAATGAATTATTTTGATTTTTTAATATTGTCACATTGGACAACTTTGTCCGTCTTTTCCATTGTACCTAATAGCTTACACAACCCTGGATGTCCCCATCTATGATCCTCGCATATGATACACTAAACAATCGCTCAACGTCATGCTTCCACACAAATAAATTTCCTCTCTTAGATCAAAAGAGCAGTGACTCAAACCCACTCCTTGGGGTCTCTGAGGACATCAACCAGGCGCTGCTCCCTACTCTTAGGCTCGGGCTCATGCATATACTTCCAGCCAGCCGTCAACGGCAAGCTCATAAGGATACTCTCGACCCTTGATCCAGGGGTGTTCAGGCCAAATGCTGTACCGCGGTCGTGCACCAGGTTGAACTCGACATACTTGCCACGGCGCAGCTGTTGCCAATCCTTCTCTGCCTCAGTGTAGGGCATGTCCTTGCGCTTCTCGATGATGGGAATGTACGAGGGCAGGAAGGCCTTGAGGCAGTCCTGGACAAAGGAAAAGGTGTTCTCGCGATCGCGCTCGGTCTCATCGAGGTCGTCGAAGAAGATGCCACCGATGCCGCGGGCCTCGCCTCGATGCTTGTTGTAGAAGTACTCATCGCACCACTTCTTGAATCGTGGGTAGTAGT